AAGCGCTACGCTGGTAGCAGCTCGTCGCTCCGGCAGGCTGGGAGCTCTGGTGGGAAGGGCCGTAGCTGCCCCCCCATCCTCCGCTCACCTGGGGATAGATGGAGGATGGCAAATGAATATACCACAGAGGTGGTGTTCAGTGCGCAAAGCTCACTCGACGTCATCCGTCTCGCTGTAGCTTTTGTACCCAAATGCCTGTTACCATCAAGAAAACGGCGGAAAAAAGGAAAGAGCATCTCTGAAGGAAATCAGGAGGGCTGGCAGCTGCCAGAGGTGTGTCTGTCTGGGTAGTTCGTGTGGTTGCCATCAGCAGGTATCTCAGCCTCAAGCTGGCTGGCTCGGTGGTTTATTCGGGAAGGACTTTGGCCTCTGCTCAGCTTCCCCTGTCGGGGTGCCTCGTGGAGATGCCCCGTGCCCAGGCTGGCTGCGGGGCAGAGGGGCTGTCCCCCGGCCGGGGGCTGGGCGGCCGTCCTGGCCTGCCGCGGGCCTCTGCCGGCACCAGCCGCCCCCTGTGCCGGGCCGGTGGCTGAGCGAAGGACCGGAGGCAGCCCGGCTGCGGTGCGGTGCCTTTCCTGAGCAGCACGCTGCCTTTTGCGCAACATCCTCTGCTGTTCCTTGCACTGCATGATGCTGAGAGCAGAAATGTTGCAGGTCTGCACTTCCAGTGCTGCTCCGCACCTTCCTCTGCCCGGGGCTGCACCTGGTACCCACAGCCCATCCCCAGCGCGCCCCCCGGGCCATCGGCACGTTTCTTTAATTTCAGCTTTTGCATGCCACAGACACGTTTCTTACGTGTTTGACCCATGTGGTTTTGCAGGGAGGATGCGGAGCCGTCCTCCGGGCTCAGCCAGAGTTGGGGGATGAAGTGGGGTCTCACTGAAGACTACACTGTCTTGGCAGAGGTGGGTGTTGGCAGCCACCAGGTTGCAGAGATTTGGGTTTTGTTTTGTTTTTTTTCCCCAAAATCTCTGAAGGGTCTCGTTTGCATCCCGCTACACGATGGGAGAAGTTTCTTGAGAATCTTCCTGGAGCAAGAACGGCATTTCCCGCCCAGCCGGAGTGTGAGAGCAAGGATTGGAGCTATGGAGAGATGCTGAGATTTTTTTCTTGTCTTTCAAGGGCCATATTTATTTGAAGATAGGCTTCTCATGGCAAGAAGTCTCCATTATGAAATAGAACAAAAGTGCCCTGGGCACCTAAGCCCTTCTTTAGAAAGCAGCAGGGAGGCTTTGGGCAGTGTCTCGGCGCAGGGGGTGGCAGCTCACTCCCTTGGCTGGCCGGTGGATTTTGGAGCCGTCTCAGTTTTCAGGCCATGCCCGGTGGCTGTCACATGCCGTGGGGACCGGAGGGGAGCTGCCCGTGCCCGACTGCCCATGTAAGTCTCCTGGGGACGCAGAGCTCGGGGGTACGTCTCCGTCCCCACGTCCCTGCCTGCGCTGCCTGTGCGGATTTGCCCCGGCATGTGGGTTGCTATTTTTCGTGGTTTACTTGCCTTTAAGGGGAGCGTGTTTATCCCCAGCTCTCTGGGGAAGGTGCAAGTATGGAGCGGGGGCTGTGCTCCTTGGCGTCTATTTTAATGCCGGTGAGCCGGGCTGTGCTCATCCTGGTCTTGCACCCTGCACTTTTCTGAACAAACTATCGTGTCTTTTTTGGGAGCTCATCATCTTAGAACTAATTGCCTCTAATCTTAGATTAATAAGGTACAATAAATAACCGAGCAAAGAAAATGAAATTGTTCAGACATTATCAAGTGCATAATAGCGGTAATTACACCTCCGAGCAGAGGGCTTGTAACTAAACTTGTACCGTGATGATTATCTGCACGGCCCAGGGAGGTTCAGCCGGGGCACGGCTGGGGGAACGGCACGCTGCCTGCTCCTTCCCCGCAGCAGTGCTGCCCGGGCTGGGCTGGCACCACGCTGCCCGGCCGGCGGGAGGGATGCCCGGCTGCGGTGGCAGGGATGGGGACAGTTTAAATGGACCAGCTCGGCTGAGATGCTGTGAAATCGGAGCCCGTCGGGGTTTGTGATTCGGGGCGGTAATGCAGTCGGAGTTTAGCTTGATTTTTATTTGAAGTTAACTTCTTGACAACAGAATTAAAGGGTACGTTTTAGATTATAAAATCTCCTTCCCTCAGCTGGAAATGGAGTAGGAGCTTTGATACTTTTGGACGATTGCCGCTGCCTGGTAAAAGCCATCACTCGTTCAGCCATGGGTCGGCTCTGGGGTGTTGGGTTAACCTGGCGCCTGCAGAGCGGGTGCCAGCGCTGGAGCAGGCGGTCGGACCGGGGCGGTGTCCTGGTACCCCTCATGCCGAGCCCTTGCTCTGCACTGCCTCCTCCTCCAGACAGAAGCCCTGTGGGACAGTCACCCCGTGGGGGCCGCCGGGGCTCGGCGGGCTATCGGCGGGGCCGTGGCTGCAGGGTCCCATACAGCTCCAGGGGCTCAGCCCAGAAAGCAGCGAGGGCAGGTTGTCCGCACAGGGTCATGTTCTTTCTACATGCATTCATTTCTTCACCTCTTTGCAGTGATAAATACCCTCTTTCCCCCCCAGGACCTGCTTCAGTTCCTTTCCAAGTGTTTCTTCTTCCTGCAGCCGTTATGACGGATGAATACATGGGCTACTTTGTCATAAAAAGTTTGATCTCTTTTAATGATTCAGTTCTCTTATCCATCAGCGTTTATATTCATAGTCTCGAGGTGGGCTGCGACGCTATAGATCAGTGAACCATCTGTCTGGCGACAGAGATTTATATTGCAGTTTGTTTCTTCAGTACGGAGGCGAATGTCTAGGAGAGGAATCGTGCTCCCTGAAGTCTCCCTCTCCTCGATGTGCTTAATCCTCAGGGACACTGATGAATAGTGTGCCCAGCGCTCACGACGGAGCTGAAGGCCAGTTCCTAGCATTTTCTGGGCCTTTTTAATAAGGAGGAGGAGCAATTAGCTTGTGTGTGCAGAGTCGTGAGCAGTTGTGGCAGCTGATTTATGCCCTGACACAGATAAATTATTTGCGAAGCCTGGCTTTGGGAATGATTAATTTTAACACATGTTAAAGTTGTGCTTACGAAGCTCTGCATTTATGGCTGCTTGCTCCTAAGGCATCGTGCTGGCTGAGCCAGCGCTCATAAATTCTCCTGCTAGCTCCCCAGTGCTCGCGGTCCCCACGGCAGGGTCCATGGCCGCCCCCCCGCCTCCCCGCTCCCTTCTCCTGCCAGCGAGTGCAGCTGGTGAACACGCACCGGCTTCGGTGCAAAGGCCCCCCCGGCCGCCCTCCCTGCCCCTTAGGCTGGCCGATCCCCGCGAGCATTGGGGCCCCAGGGGAGATGCAGGCTCAGCTCCCGTCCCTGCTGCTGCCGGCTGGGGACGTTTGGGGTGAGGTATGTTCTTGGTGAAGCCCCACTGCTGCCGCCCCAGGTGCACGTGCGTTTTAGCGTTTTCCTCACTTGATGCTGTGAAATGTCCTGGTGAGGAGCGCCGCGCTCACATCACTGCTGATGGGTTTGCTGAGTGCTGCCAGCCGTGCCTGGGCATCCTTCCCCTTGGCATTGGAACCAGCACAAATGCCGAATGTCTTAACAGAGATTGGTGACTGCCCCATCGAGGCTGTTGGTTATTGTCACCTCTGTTACGGAGCTGCTCGGTGCGTGACGTCCCGCCGAGGGACCCAGGCAGGGCGCGGGGTCTGCATGGGACGTGCCTGCAGGTGGGCGACAGGAGCTCAGCATTTCCTTCCAGGTTAAGGCTCCTGATTTCTTTCCTCTTAGGCTACGTTGGTGGGGACAAGATGAGCCCGCAGCGTGGAGCCCCTCGGCTCTGCCTGCAGCAGCTCCGGCGCTGGAGGGGCTCAGATGGGTGCGTCTCACCCACCTCCTGGGTGCTGCCTCTGGTCCAGGCTGTGCCGCTCCAGCAGCGTTAGGGAGATGCTGAAGGATGGGCTCTTACAGCGGATCAGCCACCCCGAGCCCGTCAGCGGGTCCCTGCCAGCCACCAGGCCAGGCAGCTGCCGGTGGGTTCCCATGGTGTCACTCCAAGGGAGGTTAAGCCAGAGAGCAGTTACCGGCTTATGGCAGAAGCGTGTAAAGTTTGATAGCCTTGTATAAAATTTTATCCCAGGTATCGTGCCTGAGGTGATGGGTTTCTCTCCATGCATTTGCTTTTTGTACATAAGAGCCTTGTAAATTAAAAATCTGACTTTTCAACCTGATAAGGGAGTCCACGAGAAGCCCCGAGGAGCTCTCACGAGTGTGCCACGCTTCTTACATGCCGGGCGGTTTCCCCATGAGTGGTCAGGCTGGCTGTGAAATGCCAGTGGGCACTGGTGGATACCAGGAAGAGGGACTCCCGAGCAATGAGGGTCTCATAAAACCCCTTCCCAATTTGCTGCCTGATCGGCTTGGCATTAACACTCAGTAAGTATTTGTTTATCCCTCTGTTGTCAGAGCAAGTAGCAGCTGCTTTCCAATAAATCACGATTCGGTGGTGTGTGCCAGGCAGCACGCTCGGCCGGAGCGGGCACCACGTGTACACGGGGGTTGCAGAGGCGAAATAAAATGGGGTGGTAGGTTTAATGACTGGCACTGTGAATTTGCTCACCTTGGCTTGGTAATATGCCTGATTAATGTGATTTTGATGACCTTCTTCCAAGTTAAAAAATAGTAATAATAGTAGCACTCACTTAAGAGACTTGTTGAATACAGTGAAATAGGGGAAACGGCTAATTCGTTGCACTTAACTCCATTATCAGCTGTTACAGTAATGAACAGACCTTGTCTTGCTCGGTGTCTAAAGCCGAGGCATCAGGAAACAATCCCTTTTAGCTTGCACTTAGCAGGCAGGAGTGTAATTTATAACCCTGCCTGGTGTGAATAAGTGAGTTTGCAAAGGGCTGCGGGCGTTTATAAAGTAATAGGAGAGGTGGGTGGCAGATGAGCTGAGCAGGGACCAGTTTTGCCTGCACACCTTTAATCCGGGTGTGCTTGATCCCAGACCCCGCTGACATCCATGGGGAGGAACCTCCAGCCCTGGTGAGGCTTTCCCCCCATCCACGCGGTCACGAGCACCCAGCCGGCATGTGGTGACCGGCAGGAGGGCTACGGATGGGGGCCAGTGATGGAGACTGGAGCAGCTGAAGATGAAGAAGTGCCCGCGGTGGTCACAGTGGTGGATGGGGCATTTGCAGTTTCACCCGCAGCTCCTCCTGGCCGGTTTCTGCGGGGCTCTCTGCCGCGGCGCCTTGTCCTGGTGACACAAGCCACCGGCGGCTCTGGATGCCAAGTGACGTTCAGAGTTGGTTGGCAGCTCCTGGGTTTTTCTGGAATAGCCAAATGTGGTATCTTAGCAACAAAGGGAATTTTTCTCCTTTTAGATCAGATTTCTTTTTTTAACAGCTTCGATGCTGAACATTGCTCCTACCCGGGCAGAGCCAGGGCATGGGTGTACTGGGGACGTCGCCCTCGCCGGCTCCTGCTCTGCTGCAGCCACGGGGGGTCGGAGCAGATAAAACATTGCTGGGGGAGACTGCTCCAAGGCCACTGCTTTTCTGAGAGGCTTTGAACGTTGTAAAGCGTGCGGGAAAGGAGAAGTTTTCAAGTCCGATGTCAGCTGGTTGCAGGTGAATGAAAGCAAAGCCCTTAACCCAAAGTAGATCTGGCCCCGTGGGTTGTATCGGCTGCTTTGGTAGTTGTCGATGTGCCATGTCTTGGTGCTCACGGCTGGTGGTACTGGCGGTTTGGTACAGTGGGAGCAGCTGGGAGCCCAGGGCTGAGCCCGGGGTCTGCTGTGGGCTGCTCTGGGGGGGTCACGCAGCCAGGACGGGGGCACAGGGCTCCTGGGGTGCTCCGGGTCCAACCTCCCGCCCCACTGACGGGCTCCTCTGGGTGCTTTCCCCACAGGGTGCAGGTCGAGTTCTACGTGAATGAAAACACCTTCAAGGAGCGGCTGAAGCTCTTCTTCATCAAAAACCAGCGATCGAGTGAGTGCTCCCTGCGTGGAGTGCAAGCGCCTGCCGGGAGAAACCAAGCCCTGCCCGAGCTTGAGAGCCGAGCTCTGTCCTCGTGGGACGAGAAGCCATTGCCATCTGCTGGTGGTTGTGTCCCTGTGTGTCCCCAGCGCTGGCTGCCCAGTCCAGGGCTGCTGCTGCCTGTTGGCCTTTCTGTTGGGTGTTGGCCAACTTGGTTTGGGGGGATGCGGTTGCACGGGGAGGAGGGGATGCTGCCTGCCACCTTTGCTCGCTAGGGACAAACACAGCATGGGAACCAGCTGGGACAAATTGGCCGGGAGCAGGGTGGGTGTCGGGAGCTACCCGGGGGGGGGAGTCAGGGAGAAAATGTCCCTGCCACGGAGCCGGCGATGCTCCCCGTGCCCGCAGGGAGGTCATCGGCTGTGGGGACAGCCGAGGCAGGCTGTGAGTTACCTGCTCCTGCTTCAGCCATCTGGATTAGCCTCCACTTGACTAATAGTGTATTTATTTTCTTTCTCTGAGATGTCATTAGCTGTCTGGAGGGAGTCCGCTTGTTAATTTATAAATTCACATTTTCTTTTCCTCCCTGCATCCTGTCGTTTCTGGAGTGTAACACAACAGGGTGTCCACGGGGAAGTTTTTAATGAAAATGTGATGAATTTCTCACTTGTAATTTGAGTAATAACCCGATGAACTGGCTGGGGAGGGTGAGTGGATAAAGCAGCAGCTTTTGCTCTCTGTCCCTCCTCCTGCAAGCTGTTTGCAGCGTGGCGAGCGGAGTGGAGCCCTGGCCCTGCCTGTCTGATGCTTTTTAATGGATGCCTGCTAATGAGGGGGATACACTCCAGCAGCTCCCTCATTTGTCTCTCACATCTATTGGGGCCAGCAAGGAGCTGACTCATCGTTATTTATTTCTGTATTAGTCTCCTATCGATTTGACACTGGGTAGGATGCGTAGAGCCCCGGGCAAAGCGTGAGCAACGTTTGTGTGCTGCCCTGGGGCTCCGGCAGCTCCCCTGGGGCTCAGTGGGGTCCCGCGGTGCAAGGGGCCCTGCAAAGCTTGTGGGAAACTAAAGAGGCTGTGCTGTGGGGTGCGCGGGGTGCCCGGGGTGCGCAGGGTGCCCGGGGCGTGCTGCCTGGCCCACGCCGTGCTCCCCTCTGCCGCAGGCCTGAGGATTCGGCTCTTCAACTTCTCGCTGAAGCTGCTCACCTGCCTCCTGTACATCGTCCGTGTCCTGCTCGACAACCCGGAGGAGGGCATAGGCTGGTGAGTGGTGCTGCCGCCGGGCTCCCCACAGCGCCCTGTGCAATGGGGAGCGCAGACGCGATGGCAGCTACTCACGGCGGATGTGAAGATGCGCGACGGATGGTTTTCTCCCTCCAGCTGTTTGAATTGGTAGTTTAGCCAAACTTGCTGGTCTGGTGGGCTTTGCTCCCTGCTCAAACCCTGTGGACAGGCGTGTGGGCGTCCGCTGGCCCTGCACGGCACACGGGGGGAAGGTGGTGGAAAAATTCGACGTCACGTTCATTTCCAAATGCTGTCTGGCTCTAACGGTCAGGAGTGCAGCGTGGCCTTTAGACACAGGCAAGAGCTCATGATTACAGGGCATCGCCATGCAAGTATTTTCTGAATCCTGACGCCCTTGAAGACAGTTATGCTAAATCCCATTTAAGCATTTGGGAAGGAAATATGTTTTGCCATTTAGATCCCCGAGGTGACAGATGATTACAGATGATTACCCAGAGCTTTGCTCTGAGTTTCAGTACAAGCCTATTTTTAATATGTCCTTGCTTTGTTTAGCATATACCACATACGTGTGGGTTTTTTTTCAAGAGCTAGGAGAATTAGCAATTTGATTTTTTCTTTGTAAAGGTTGCAGACTACCAAGTACGTCTGCATTGTCCAAAAGGGGTTTCAAATATGTAGGAATTAAGTGTGACATAGATGCATATCCTGGAAAGGTTTAGCACAGCTGCAGTTCAGGCAAGCCCACTTTCCTGAAGGTGCGTGGCAAAATAAAGGCTGGGAATGCATCCCTTGCAGCAAGGAAGGGGGAGAGCTTGGCTTCGGTGCTGCCTGCCTGCCTGGCTGCTCGGGGCCCAGCTAGCCTTGTCTTAGAAGTCGAAGCTCAGTAGCTTTTGCTAATTGTAACCTGGTAATTCCCAGCTGCAGCCCTGTGTTCGAGCACTGTGCACAGGGAGCCCCGTGCCCGCGAGTATCAGCGTTTCGCAGCATCTCTGGAACGGGCTGAAATACCTGACGGGTCTTATCCTCCAGTAATAAGATGTTAAAAACTGCCTGGGTGAGATAGGCTCCCGTGGAAAGCCCCAGCTGTAGGGACCAGTGTGCGTTTGGACCCGTGGGAGTGTTGTCCGGGGGCCTCCCCCAGCATCAGGACAGAGCGGCAAGGGCACCCCGTGAGCCTGGGGCATCCACGCCAGCACCCCTTTTCCTTCCTCCCCGCCGCTGACTGCTTTCCCCTGCTTTGTCTTTCTCTTCTCCTAGCTGGGAATGTGAAAAGCAGAATTACACGGCGTTCAACCAGTCCACGAAGATAAACTGGTGAGTCGAGAGTTGCTCCAGTGCTGGGGTCCGGCTCTGCCAGATGCGGGAATGCAGCGATGGACGTGGCTGGTGCTGACAGCTGCCCGTGGCCATTTCTTGGTCACGGGCTGCTCGAGGGATGCGGAGCAGCATCCCAGGATCACATCAGTTGACAAGTGCCTGTGGCTGCACCCTTGGGAATGGCTTATTCCCAGTGCAGAGGCTGCTTGAACAAACTGTGCAGTAGGGGACACCAGTACCAGTCCCGTGCTGGATTCTGCATCAAGTGATGGCCTCACATTTACATTTGGGGGGGGTAAGGGCACTGCTAGTTGGGCTACAGTTCAGACCCATTTTGAATTTTCTTTGCAGGTCACACATCTTCTGGGTGGATAGAAAAATGCCGCTGTGGGCTGTGCAGGTGAGTGCCCAGACCTCGGGCATGGTCCTGCAGGAGCACAGCAGGAGCTGGGGTTTGAGCTCTGCCGCCAGCAGGTCTCTGTGCATCCTCTGCCTGCAACAGTGAGGGGCGACAGGTTCTCTTGGGTGAGCAGAAAATGAGCTGCGGCTTCTGCTGGGAGCAACAACATGGCCCTGGGTGAAAATCCCAGGGACCGATAGGAGAGGAAAAGCTGTAGGAAGATAAAATCATGAGGCTGGCTCAGCTCCTTCCCAGCCTGGATGCAGCTGTACCAGTAACGGGCTATTTTCAGGCCGGGCAGCTGCCTGGGGAATCGCTTGCAGGAGGGTTGAGCGCCCGTCGGCTTCTGCTCAGGGCTGCCTGCATGCCTATTGCTCGTGCATGGCAGACATTCACACAAACGGGCGCAGAGAAATCAAACGAACGGGCCCACGTCTGCGATACCCACGGGCTCCTCATCGCACGGGGCAGGGAGGGCTCGGCAGAGGCGCTCGCAGGCTCTGGCTGACTGACGATGCATCGCATGAGCCCTCAGCAGCCTTTGCCTGTCTGTCTCCGCAGGTCAGCATAGCTTTGATCAGCTTTCTGGAGACCATGCTGCTCATCTATCTCAGCTACAAGGTAAGTGCCCCGGGGCGGGCGGCGGACAGCGATGCGCAGTCTGGGTCTGACCCCCCCGGCGTGAATTAATTTCTCTGTCTTTGAGCTGTCTAAAGCCTGAAGCATCCTGAAAGGACGTGTGCCTCGGCGGCGTCTCAGCTGGCTGTGGCTGTTTTCCTTTCTCGTTCCCCCTCAGGCTGCTGGATAAGTGTTTGGCAGAGCAGAGCTGGGGGATCTCTTCTTTTTCCACCTTCCTTTAAATTCAGACCTGTTTTACAAAGGGTCGCTGCTTTTTTGGGGGGCCGGATTGACGCACGCTGAGCTTCCTGAGGTTGAGGACCTGGAGCTGAGCGCGGCAGCATGACCCCTGCTTGCGCCGAGGTCTGCTGCCTCCGGAGGTAGCAGGCACTGCTCCAAGCCAGACAGGGAGAGGCACAGGCTGACTCCTTTGGATCAAAGCCCCTTAAAACGGCCAAGAAAAGTGACCTTAACAAATGGCATCTTCTCGGGGTCCCTGGGACAGTTGGCAGAAAAGACTCAGACCTTGTGTCACCCGCCTGGTTTGAGTGCCAGCGATCTGTATCAGTCACTCTCATTCTCCGTCCTTGCACGAAGTGTCGTTGTTGTCCCCTGGCTTTGGGCAGCAGCAGTGACGGACAGAGGGACGCCGTGGCCGCGGAAAGGACTGAACGGTTTGGGAAGGTGTGACTGCTCCAGCGTGTCTGCCACCAGCACTGCATCTCTTTCCCGCAGGCAAACCGGAGCATCTTTCTGGCTGCTCTGGTGTACTTCCCCCATCTAGCAGGGTCTGTGGCAGAGTGGGAGCTTTTTAATTGTCATTTGGCAGATTTTTAAGCTTACCTAATTCTTATTTGTTTTTAATTCCTCAGGGGAACATCTGGGAACAGATTTTTCGCATTTCATTCATCCTTGAGATGATCAACACGGTGCCATTTATTATCACAGTGAGTGTTTCCTGGTGACATTTTAAAGCGGCTTTAAGTTTAATAAGTACTGTAGTTTTGGTGGTAAAATAAAGAAAAATGGATGTCTGGCCAAGCAGTATTTAAAGCTGGCAGGCAATTTTTTTCTTCAATATTTTTCAACGTAATGACTTTCTCTGGAGCGTTATTCCAAAAAAACATCCTCTGTTTTCAGCTGCCCCACTGCAGCCGGGGAGCGGGGCCGCTTTTGGTGGCAGCCTCTGCAGAGGCCGGTGCTTAGTTCGGAGATGGATCCTTCCCAACAGGGTTCATAAATTGGCTGTTTATAGCTTTTTCTGATAGGCAACATGGATTTTTCTGTGAGTAACGCTTGCTTTCATAGATATTCTGGCCTCCCTTGCGGAATTTGTTCATTCCTGTGTTTCTGAACTGCTGGCTTGCCAAGTACGCCCTGGAGAACATGATTGTGAGTGACTGGACGCATCCCACCCCTTTCGCTCTGGGTCCCTCTGCCCTGGGGATGCCAAAGACGGCGTGGCCGGGAGGGGGGCCCTCGCCTGCCGCCGGCTCTCGGGCAGGTTTTTGGTGCTCAGTGTGTGCAGCCGTGCCGGGGCTGGTGGGAGGTGAGGCTTTGCCAGCTGGTGCTACTGGTCTGTGGACCTGAGCGGGAGCCCTTCAGCCTCTGAGCCAAGG